TGCAGTCTGGAGTCTGCAGTCTGGAGTCTGGAGTTCGCAGTCCGGAGTCTGCAGTCTGGAGTCTGCAGTCTGGAGTCTGCAGTCTGGGGTCTGCAGCCTGGAGTCTGCAGTCTGCAGTCTGGAGTCTGCAGTCTGGAGTCTGGAGTTTGCAGTCTGGAGTCTGCAGTTTGGAGTCTGCAGTCTGGAGTCTGCAGTCTGGAGTGTGGAGTTTGCAGTCAGCAGTCTGGATTCTGGAGCCTTGATTGAGTCTTGTAGCCTTTCATCCGCGCACTCACAATCCAAACATGCAAAAAATCGCAAAGTGCCATCAGACCACCGCTTCAGATGGCATCTCGAAATAAAAATCAACGCCGAAAAAATCTGGGCGAACCAGCCGCCAGCGGACAACAGCTTCAAGCGCCATCTCGAAATGAAAATGAATGTGGCAAAAATAGCTTGGCGGACCGGCCGCCAGCGGAACCACCGCTACAATGATATATCATCAAACGAGAAAAGCAAAACGGGCGGACCGGCCGCCGGCGGAGAAACCGCCCCATGCGACTATATTAAGGCGGACCGGCCGCCAGCGGAGACACCGCTATAGAAACGATTATCGCACAACAAAAGTTCAACCGAGTCAATCAGTGCAAAAAATGCTCCGGCTCCATCGAGCCAAGCGTGCGAAGCAGCGCGAACAAACAGCGTAAACTGCATGCGCGCGCGCCTGCCCTGCTGCGTTGAGTCACACGAAAATGTGTGCTTTCCAGCGCGTAATGCTTCATCACTGCCATGCTTCAAAGCGCATGTGTTTGCCAACTCAATGAACTTAGAATGAACTTAGCGGACTTAGAAAAACCTCTTTTCTAAGTTCAAGATAAGTTACTTATAAGTCCAAGCTAAGTGCTAAGTCACTTATTACTCCAGCGTAAGTACGACCCTATCCCAGTACTGCAACTTGCTAGCGCCGCTTGCTCGTGCTACTTGCAGAGACTGGGAGACACAGGGAGACAAGTGGGAGAATCTGACCGCAGACACTGGGAGACAAGCGGGAGACACGACCCAGCATCTGGCATCCAGACACAGGGAGACAAGCGGGAGACACGAATTCGGAGCCAGCGTCTCAGCATCTGGCATCCGACCGCAGAGAGGACAAACGGGAGACAAGACCCCGGAGCCGGCGTCATCCGACCGCAGAGACTGTCTCCAAACACAGAAAGATAAGCGGGAGACACGACCCGGAG